CCCACACACGCCGTGCACGGTGAGCGCCAACCATTTTGATGCACTCCCCCACAAGGGAAAGCTAATTCGGGAACTGGACCGTAGTCCACAGCAAAATAACTGGCGAACCAGTAAAAGAGGCTTGGCCCCTTGCTAGTGCGTAAGCACAAACATCGACCAAAGTCGCGCATGTCAATGCGTGTAAACGCCAAACAGAATACGAACGAATCCAGCCACAGTGAATGTACGTCACACGGTTTAGGCAAATAGGCACACTGGCCGTAAACCCTCGGTGAGCGCCACCACCTGCCAGACCGCCGCTCCTGCAGACGTGATGTAAGTGTATGGCATCACCACCAATTGCATGATCAGCACGGCTACTAGCCGCAGAGCGTGTCATGAGTCTACCGCTCACCTCAAGGGAATGGGGTCCCACGTTGTGCGGCTTTCGGCCGCAGCCTTGAGAGTCTCCTCAGATCGTCCCGCCAGCTACCACCCGCATGAGGTCGACACATATGCTCCACCAACCAATACAACGGCAGATATAGCCAAAAGGCAGTTATAAGATAAGAGTAATAATTCGCCATCAGAAAGGGTTTGTGTCACTGACGTTGAGTAAATGCATTTTCGATCATGTTTGTCTCACCCACCAACAAGTTGCCTTCAATCATTCAAAGGTGGGAAAGTTACAGAGATATAATATTACGTTGTTATATAAAACATCGTGGAGGGCAGACAGTCTGCAGCCCCGCAATGAAGGGACCCGACTTGGGCAAAGCTACTTAGGTGTGAGTCAAACCAAGACGCAGAGAGCGCCATTGAGAATAGCGTCCCACCAAACAACCATCGCAGAGACGCAATGCTGCAGAACGCAACAAGCATCAATACGACTATCGTCGGGCTTACACCATCCCAAGGTCCCCTATACATCCCAGCAGACATCACCACCCGCATACCTCCATCGACCAGAACCACAAGAGAGCGTCGAATCAGGCACAGCACACCCGCAGATCCATCACAAGACGCAATACCGCAAGTAGCAGTAAGCATCAAAGCAACTATCATACGGGTGGCGCCCCCTCACAACACACCCACATGACTCTTATCGACTTTGGTAACAAAGTTGGTATTGTTGTTATATAAAAAATATCACCAACGTATCATAGTAGCACGCTACTAAGACGCCAATGAACAAAACTCCACGTATCATAGCGCTAATGCACTAAGACATGAAGTTGAGTATGCCTATTACACTTAAAAGTGCTACCAAACACACTCATCATCCCAATCCGAAAGATAGACGACACATCGCTATGCGCAACGACGTCGCCCACAAACGGTATGGGTGTGCGATGTCCACGGGAAAGCCGTATTGCTACAACAAACCCGCTTACCACCAGCACTAAGATGTTAATTGTATACCTCCATCGACCAGAACCACAAGAATGCGTCGAATCAGGCGCAGCACACCCGCAGATCCATCACAAGACGCAATACCGCAAGTAGCAGTAAGCATCAAAGCAACTATCATACGGGTGGCGCCCCCTCACAACACACCCACATGACTCCTATCGATTTTGGTAACAAAGTTTTTATTGTTGTTATATAAAAAATATCACCAACGTATCATAGTAGCACGCTACTAAGACGCCAATGAACAAAACTCCACGTATCATAGCGCTAATGCACTAAGACATGAAGTTGAGTATGCCTGATACACTTAAAAGTGCTACCAAACACACTCATCATCCCAATCCGAAAGATAGACGACACATCGCTATGCGCAACGACGTCGCCCACAAACGGTATGGGTGTGCGATGTTCACGGGAAAGCCGTATTGCTACAACAAACCCGCTTACCACCGGCACTAAGATGATATGTCTAGGACACATCGGTTAGCGAGTCCAAGTTTACCTCGGACCAATTGCTCGTGAAGCAGCACACACGCCACCATAATATTCCTTTTCAAGTCCCTAATAAGGACTAGTCATTTTGCTACAGTACTAGGAGCAGTCAGTCACCCGACCACCCCATACAATGCTTATGCATCAAGGAGACCTCCTATAATATTGCTTTTGTATCATAGACCTTACTTTCATAAGTCATGTATATATAGGATTCGAACCCACGACCCTACTATTGTAATGCATATTAATCATAGAGACCTTCTATAGTATTGCTTTTGTATCATAGACCTTATTTCATAAGTCATTCATATATAGGATTCGAACCCACGACTCTACTATTGTAATGCATATTATTCATACAGACCTTCTATAGTATTGCTTTTGGATCATAGACCTTACTTTCATAAGTCATTAATATATAGGGTTCGAACCCACGACCCTACTATTGTATCATTGAGTTTAATATCATAAGTCCCTAATATAAGACTAGTCATTGTGCTACAGTACTTCAGGCAGTCGGGCTCCCGACCACCCCATATATATGTACAACTGCAGGTATGTACCTCCGACAACTTCCTCCATACAAGACATCTATACGTGAACACCTTCCATAACTTAGGAAAATTTTCTTTAATACATGAACTCCTTCAACAACTTAGGAAATTTCATCTATACGTGTGTGTATACGTACGTATACAACTTAGAAAAATTTTCTTTTATACACGAACACCTCCCATGACTTAAAACAATTTTTAACAAATATTCTAATTATCTTATAAATGTTATTTAACTTAATTTTATAATATTTTTTGACTTGTATTTCTATTATTTATCTTATTTTAAATATTTTTTCAAGTTTTTAAATAAATTTATTTATTACAAAAAACAATAATTTTGCCTTTAATTTACTATGTTATTGGGATAATGTCTGAAATATATTAACTTTATGTTTATTAATTTAACTTAATTGCTTAATATATATCTTTTAAGACTATTTTTGACGCCCCTTTATATTGAATTTAATTATTAATAATAATATTGGGCCGTCACAATAGGATTAAAAAAAACTTGGACTACATCGTTGAATAAATAAATTATTAAAAAGTAATAGAATTATTTAACAATATTATAGATAACTTCATTATCATATTAAATTACATTAACCACATTATAGAAAACAAAAACAATTCCAATATTATACTTCCAATATTATACTTCTTAATTAATTTTCATTATTTTTAAAAAAAATTATTAATTTTGATTTGAAGGTGGATAAACTGTCGCAAGTAATATCGAGGCCAGAAATCTTTGAGGACAGTTCGTTATAAGTGCGAGCCAGTCTGGCTAGAGGGGAATACTTTCCCAGGTTAGATCTATAAAGAGACACATCGAAAAAGGCTTGCGGTTTCCTAGGCAGTCTTGATGGCACTTTAAAGTTAAATAATTGAACTATCGCTGGACAATCGACACTATTATTGAGCGTTTTGTATAGGAATATCATATCTGAGATACTTCTACGTGATTGTAATGATGTGATGTTAAATTGCGCCAAACGTCTTTCGTAGGAATCATTAGTTTGATAGCTATTCGAACGGTACGCAAGATGACGTAGTAGTTGTTTTTGTATTCCTTTCAATTCTGATGCTATGGATCTTGTAGTGCGGATTCCAAATTTGACTGCAGTATTCTAGTTTACTTCTAACCAGACTACTAAAAAGTTTTATTGTAGTGGAGGGCTGCATGAACTCTCTGGAATTCCTCAATACAAAACCCAGTGTCTTCGTAGCTGAGGTGATTATGCTATCGATATGGTTGGTAAATCTTTATTCGCTGTCTAGTATAACGCTTAAATCACGTATCGCTCGAACCGCAGTCAGTTTTTCAGTATCAATATAGTATTGACTTTGTATGTAATTATGTTTTCTGGTAAACCTAATAAGTCGACATTTTTTGCCATTGAGAAACATTTGGTTGTTATTACACCATTGTATAAGGCGATTGAGGTCATCTTGCAATAGTTCGACGTCAGAGTTGTTTTTGATGGTTTTAACTATCTTGAGATCATCAGCAAATAGATAGACATTTGAGTGTTGAAATATCGAAACAATGTCGTTTATAAAGATGTTAAAAAATACAGGACCTAAGTTAGAGCCTTGCGGTACACCGGAGTAGGCAATATAAGGTTGCGAGGAGTACCCGTCAATCACTACGGTCGAGGGTCTATTTTGAAGGTATGATGCACACCAGTTCAATAATGTCCCATTTATACCAAAGTCTCTTAGTTTATTGACTAATAGTGCGTGATTTACTTTGTCAAAGGCCTTAGAGAAATCTGTGTATATGGCATCCACTTGTAGTTTGTCATCAACGTTCTCGATTAAATCAGTGACATATGAAAAAAGATTTGTGACAGTAGATCTACCAGACAAAAAACCATGTTGCTGCCAACTAATACGTCGTCCTAGATTTTTGAAAACAGATTCATAGACCAAGCTCTCAAAGACCTTTGACATAGTAGATAATATGGAAATCGGTCTATAATTAGAAACACTTGTGGGATTTTCGCTTTTAAAAATTGGTACTATCCGCGCCTCCTTCCACCTTTCGGGGAAAATGCCAGAGCTCAAGGAGGTGTTGAATATAATAGTCAACGGAGCAGCCAAAGAATTTGCACACCTGTATATAAATATAGGCGGAATACCGTCTGGACCTGCACTTTTTGTTGTATTTAATCTTTTCAGTCTTTTCTTAATTTCTCGTTTAGATACGTATATATTGCCTAAATATTTGTTTGGTTTGGAGACTGGTTGTGTATCAAAATTGTTATTAATATCATCCTTGATAAAAATCGATGAGAAATGACTTGCAAACAAATCACATATTTCTTGCCTACCGTTTGCCTCACGATCATTCAGAGACATTTTATTAGGGTAAGTTGAGCCTTTACGACGCATGTTTTTCATATGTGTCCAAAAATACCTCGGATTATTGCTAATAGATTCCTCGATGTGTAAAATATAATTATAATAACATTTTTTTATTAGTTCATCGCAATCCTTCCTTAGGTAAGAAAATTCAATTTTATCTAGTGGATTATTATATAATTTAAATTTTTATTGCCATTTGTGTTTCTGTTTAATGAGTCTAATTAGAGCGGGTGTAAACCAGATAGGATAAGATTTTGACGATTTGCACGATCTGGGAACGAATCTGTCTATAGCTACCTGCAGGATTTCGTAGAACTTCGATATCATTTCATTTACATTATTAAGTACGCCTAAAGTTTGTAGCCAATCAACACCATTCAAGAATGCTATAATGGAATCAAAATCAGCTCTTTCAAAATTGTGGGAACATTTATTCTTAGTTGCGGAAAAATTAGTTGATACGTTGATTGTAAAGAAAAATTCTAATGGTGGATGTAAAATGTCTACGTTGCGTATAGGAAACTGACTTTCGACTACATTGATGTTTGCATTAGACAAGACTAGATCTAATATCTTTCCACTCGCATTCCTGATAGTGTTATATTGATTCAGATCTTGCAAAGTTAAAAAATCTATTAAACTACTTTTAAGAAGACAGTTGGAGTAGTTACTTGGGGATGCGTACTGACCGTTAATATCGGGTTGAGGTGCCCACGTGATAGAACTCATATTGAAGTCACCAAGCAGCAAAATTGAGTTTTTAGCCGAGCTTAGATTATTGTTATTTATGGTTTCCGTAGTGTTATTAATAAATGTTTCCAGTGTGTTACGATCAACCGGTGGTGGGATATATACTGCGCACACATGTAAGTATTCCGTTAAATTACTAGCGTTAAGTTCAGTTGTGACCCATAAGTCTTCACCAAGACTTTCCCAACTAATTTGTCTGCGCGAGTTTAATCCGTTCTTTTTTACTGCTATCAAAACTCCGCCACCAATTTTCTTATGACTAGAAAGGAGAGATGTTTCGCGATCGCGTCTATATATGTGGTATCTATCGTCAAAGATCTCAGCATCGTACACACTATTATTAAGCCAAGTCTCAGTTAAAATAATTATATCATAGTTTGAGTTAAGAACTTGGTTATTTACATCCGTTAAGTTAGAGCGAAGTCCTCGGACATTTTGATAATAACATTTTAATGAATCGAATTTAATGATAAAATTAGTTTACCAACACATGTCAAAGATTATTATCAGTAAGCTAGGATAAATTTAAAAGAGATTCCGAATTTTTAATAAGTTTATAGTCCGATGATTTGCTTTTTCGCATAAAAACTCGACCGTTCTTAATCCAGATGAATTCGTATTTAAGTTCCTTGGCTTTGATTCGTGCTTCTGCATGCAATGCCTTTATGGCCGGTGGCAAGTGTCCGGCAACGTATATAGGACATTTTTTTCCTCCAATTCCTAAGTGGCTGGTATTAAGTTTGTCCTCGTTGCATTTTGCTTGCTTGTTAAAAGCTATTGTAGCTGCAAGAAAAGTATCTCGGATTCTTTGGCTACTGAATTTGACTATTACAGAGCGTGGTCGAGGGCTCTCCTTATTGAACTTCATTATTCGGCTGCAACTCTGTATGTCAGTGTCAGATATGTTACATTTAACGGTTGCGGCCAGTTTTTTACTGTCGAGACAATATTTTCGGATCGATGTTCGGGAATGCATTGAATTTCTAGGTTACTGGCTCTGGATTGATTTTCAAGTAATGTAAGCCTCGTTTTCAGATCGCCTACTGTGGCCTGTAAAATTTTATTATCAGATTGTAGGGACTTAATCACTTCGTTTTTGGCCGAAAGGTCATTTTTAATACTTTCGTATTGGTCTTCAAGAAAATTGATTGAAGCCAGAACTTCATTAGTTTTTGCGGTAAATTCATCGAGTATACTTTTCTTGAACACGTCCAGCAGCGATTTCATTTCTTCTCTGACTATAGACCGAACGTTATCAAGATCTAGTTCTGCCGTAGTAGTAGGTACCTTTATTTTTCGTTCGCTATCCTTTACGCGACGAGTGACGCGGCGCGTAAAAACAAGATTTATCAGTTTCTTCGTATTTTTGTTACTATTTATTATGTAGAGGCAAAGTTATAAAAATTTAAGATTGAAACTAGATTAAAAGTAAAATTATTCAATCACTTTCAGTACAACTAGATGAACTGTCGTTGTTTAGATTCATTATTATTTGATTTTCAACAATGCAGTTAAAATTATTTTTCTTTCAGTCATCCATAATATTTTTTTTTGTTTTTTCGTCCATTTTTGCCCAATCATCCTTCCATTAAGTTAAATCCTTTTGTCCAAAAAGTTAGAACCGAGTCACAAAATAAGAAAACAAACACAAAATCACAAAATTACTCACAGTAAGTGATTCAAATTACGTATTGGTTTTTTCAGCGCGGCCTTGTATATATGAGTTATTTTGCCTACACTTTACGTTGATAAAGTTAAAAAAACTTGTTTTATTCATTATTCATGTAATTTAAGGGATTTTAAAAATAAAAATTTAATTAAACAAAGAATAAATAAAAAAATGATTCGATTATTTGAATATTTCTACCGATTATTTGAATATATTTGCCTGTTAATCGCATAACAATGAATTTTAATCATCCAAACACTACGGTAATGTATATAGCGACATATCATTGAAACAACGTCAAGTATAAAAGTTGATACTGGTTACTTTTTTAATATTTTGATTTGTTTGAAAGATTCAAATTTATATCAGTGATAAAAAAACTATACACGTTGTAATGAAATATATAACTTCATAATTCTTCGGATTTACGTAAAAGGTTACTTTAAATCGTGTGCAATGTTATTGTGGAATGATTAATGTTAAACGTCAAATGGTATTTCTTAGATTTAGTTGACTATAATCCGTTGGGCTATGTCGGTCACTCTGGTTCTACTGCGCTCATTTCTGAGTTTATCACGCAGAGAAACCCCGAGCATAGCCCTCTCCATAGTTTGCTGAGCGACTTTGAGCGTCCTCATACGGCCAGCAGTGAAGGAGCACGTCTCAGATCCGTAAGTCATCACTGGCAACACCCACTGGTTGTACAATCTAGTGTTCAGAGTTTGAGGTAGATGACGAGAAGATGTGTCGTAATTTCCCGAACGCTGCCCAGCCGAGATGAATCCGTCGATTGATCTCTCGGTAGAAGTTGGACTTACCTAGTCGGACTATTTGTCCCAGGTAAACGTACTCGTCAACAACTTCGAGCTTAGTGCTCCCAACAACTACCGGCATAGGTGTGACATGGACATTAAACATGATCTTTGTTTTGCCCATGTTCATTTTAAGACCTATCCGTTGGGAGGCACTACTGAGGTCATTGAGCATAGTGGTTAAGTCCTCCAGCGATTCTGCCATAAGGACTATATCGTGGGCCAATCGAAGGTGAGTGATGTACTAGCCATTGATGTTAATACTGTATCCTTTCGGTATTCCTTTCCAGTCCAGTAGCTTGAAAACGTCTTCCAATGCAGCGGTGAAGAGTTTCGGAGATATAACGTCACCCTGTCTTACACCTCTCTGCAGTTGAATAGGTTTCGAACTCTGGTTCTGTACTCGGATAGCCATCTTAGACCTACTGTACAAACACTTCAGCACTTTGATATACCGACAGTCAACTTGGCACTTTTTTTGCACTTGCAGCACTTTGACTGTAGCACCGCCCAAATTTCGACGGAATCAAATGCTTTCTCATAGTCCACATACGCCAGGCAAAGTGGCAGATTGTACTCTTCGGTCTTCTGTACAATCTGCCGCAGGGTATGTATGTGGTCTAAGGTACTGAAGCCTGTTCGGAAACCGGCTTGTTCGGGAGGCTGGAAGTCGTCAAGTCTGCTTGCGAGACGATTCGTTATGACTCTCGAAAACAGCACGTAGACGCGGCTCAGAAGGGAAATCTGTCTGTAGTTCTTCAAGAGAGCGTTGTCGCCTTTCTTGAAGAACAAGACCACCGCACTTCTGCTCCACGCCTCCAGAGTAGTGCCACCATGGAAGACGGAATTGAAGAGCTTCTGAAGGACTTTAAGTACCGGTGTTCCACCCGCTTTCAGAAGCTCCGCTGTAATTCCATCCTCGCCTTGCTGTTTTTAAGGTGCTGGAGAGCCATTTTAATCTCGGTCAGACTGACTTCCGGGATATCATCAGAATAGTGTCGGATAAGACTTGTACTTGGATTGTTACTCACACTTGCGTGTTGCTCCAACGATGATGTGTACAGCTACCCATAGAACCTATCAATCTCACTCAAAATCTCAGGTGTCCCGGAAACGATGCTGCCACACTAAGTCTTCAGCTTTGACAGTTGACTCTTTTTGGCAGACAAATATCTGTCAAAGACTTTGAAGCCCCGGTTGCACTCGATCGCTTCTTCAATACGAGCAGTATTAAAGTTGCGTAAGTCCCGCCGCATGCATTTGGAGATCAATCTGTTCAGTTGCCTGTATGTTGTCAAATCTGCTAACGATTGCAGCCTCATCTTCCGTCAAGCATTCATGAGATTATGAGTGTGATCGGAGTATTTTTGTGTTCTTATGCGGCGGGTCTCGCAGAACTTAGCTGACACCCTCATTTACAGTTTCCACGAGCTTGTCATTCATATCGTCCACTGCATTGCAATCTTCTAGGCACTGAAAGCGGTTTTGTAACTCGAGCTAAAAGGTTTCGGGATTTTGGATGAGAGCACGAGAGGGACGGAGCGTTGACTTTATTAGACGAGACCTCTTCAACTTAACGTTTAGGTTCAGTGTGCCTCTAACCATTCGGTGATCGCTGCCAGTTTTCACCCTTGCGATCACTGAGACATCACTTTTTTTGTCGTTGTATTTAGTTGGCATCTGGTCGTCATAATGAAGTCAATCTCATTTTTTGTCGAATCATCGAGGCTTGACCATGTCCACTTCCTGTGAGGCCGCTTCTGGAAGAAAGAGTTCATCATAAAGGGTCCCTCTTTCTCCATGAAGTCGGTGGGCTGCTGGCCCCTTGGGTTCCGTTGCCCTATCCCCAATTTCCCTACCTTCAGCTCACCGTTCTTTCTTGTATCCAGTTTTGCATTGAAATTTCCCATTAACACCGTATATTGAGTTTTAGAAGAATGCATGACTCTATAAATATCCTCATGCATTTCCTCCACCTCCTCATCGGGATGTTCCGACGTCGGCGCGTAAATTTGTATGATTTTCAGCGAATACCATTTGGTGATTCTGAGTATAAGGTACGCAACCCTCGTCGATACACTCCTAATATTTACAACGATTAACGAGGGACTTGTGGACGTAAATCCAACACCACCTTGGGACAGATGGTCGCCCTCCCGGTGATAAAACAAGTTGCCGGATTCGAGAATCACTATGTCCTCCTCCTCTCTTCAGACCTCAGATAATCCTATAATATTCCAGCGCAACTTGTCTATCTCTTCTTCCAGCTCCAGGACCTTCTCGTAAGTCCTCAGGGTGCGTGCGTTAAATTTTGTCAGGTCGAGTCGTCTTAGGTGGCAACCGAACCTCCACCGGAGATTTTTAGCACCCCCTGCCCCGCCTTTACCATGGTCGCAACTGTATCCAGGAATAGTGGGGCCGCCGGGGACTGGGGGCCGTTTCATCGTAACTAACATGGGGGTATATTGCCATAGTTGCCACGCTTAACGAGCGGGTTG